ACACACAAATAGAGACTGCGCAATAAAACATCAAATATTTTCAATCAGGCCTGAGTTTGTGTGTGTGTGTGTGTGTGTGTGTGTGTGTGTATCTCCATCTCCAAACTTGAGACATATATGCACACATAGAATTTCAAAACATCAAAAAAGTAATTTTTAAAGACATATAAGCAACTTGGATATTTTAAAGAAGTTGATTGAAATCCAAAAAAGTTTAGGAGTAATCCTAGTCTGATAATTCCTATCCATTTAAATGTATATAATGCTTTTGAGTTCAGGATAATGAATCACACAGTGCAAGAATCAGTATATATTACACAAACAAAAGCTTAATCCTGTAATCATTTATAAGATTGCTAAATGTGTTTTGAAGACTGATTTTTAAAATCTTGCACTGCACAAGCTCATCAATATATAGAAAATATCCACAAAAGTCAAATTGATAGTATCATGTCATTAGAATAGATAACAATTATTTTATTTAAAATATTATATCTGCCTTATGTTGGTTACATTAGACTGATGTAGCCATAACATGAACAGGTACAAACAGTAGTAATTTTTATATGAACCATACCTATGGAAAACTATAAGCCTGTTGTCATACACCACTGTACACAAGTCAAATAACAGTAGCATTCATTAATGTATTTATGATAAGGTTACTTGCCAGATTTATTTCACTATAGTCAGACTGAAATATTGGATGTAATTTAAAAGATGCTTGCTTATCCAAGACTCAGCACATCCATAGTTACACTTTTCTGTGTTTAAAACATAAACTGCAGAACTTCTACAGAAGGAAAAACATTTTGCATCTTATAATTTTAAGTTTAGAAAAACATGAGAATGACTGGAAATTTTTACTTAAATATTTAGTATAACTGTGCTACTTTCTTGAATTTTGCTACACTCTTTTCTGAGTGAGGTCTGCATCCATCAGATAGGCACGACTGGTCCTCTTCTTTTGCAGAGAAAAGGCAACAATTTCTTTCCTTCCATGTACATTTCACCTGGACAAACCTCTATCCTCAAGCTCTTTCTTATGATTGTGGCTCAGTGGTCTATTTTATTCATAAATAAAATTACTACTAGCTCATGCCAGTAGATAGAACTTGATCCTACTTAATGAGGTCAGAGTTAAAAAGTTGGTGTTATTTAAAAATATTTTCATCAACCTTGTAAACTTCTGAATCCATTTTTAAAAGTATGGATTTTTTGTATACCAATGAAGCTGAGATGGAACAAAAAGAGTTATAGCTTATTCTGATTAATGAATTCCTTAAAAAAAGGACAATTCATGAAGTATATCCTGAAGAGAAAATGCTTCTCCACTTTAAATGTCTTCTTAAATTCCATGCTTGTGTGAATAATAATGAAAAGTTGACAACATAGTATCACTGACATTATCCAAGTACCCTCTTAAGATGGTAGCAGTTCATTTGTCTGGCTCACTGTAAAAGAAAAAAGTAATCTGCTGTAAAGGCAATTACATGCACTCACAGGCCAAAATATCTTTAAATAAGCCCCCTAATGAATCCAGGCTCAGTGTGTCTAAACTAGTTTTAAATATACACCTCATGGAAGGTGAAGAGACTGAACAAATATTTCTGCCAGGAAATTAGTGAACTGTTTTCTTTGTAATCAAGGTTGTTACTAATCTGGAAAAAAATAATCTTTATTAGAGAGTTATAGTAGTTAGTGACCTGTTCATATACCTATTTCTTTTTTTGATATCTTATGAAAACTAGGTATGTTGTTACAACATACAGTTACTGTGATATTGGCCATGTACAAAAATGCTTCAAGAGGTTTTATACTGATGAGGTATGAAGGCTTCCTCCCTATTACAGATTAACTTCCATGTATAGCCTTACAGCAAATGAAATTTTCACTGTACAAAAGAACAGTAAAACACTCATGTCATTACTTACTATCAAAGCTCTGCAAGCCCCAATGATATAACATTGGAATACAAGTTTTTATTAGTAGGGTGAATCTAAAGGAAACACTTTCTATAGCTATCTTAAGAAATTCAAATTACATTATAAAAGCTGAACCATTCACAAACAACAACACTGTAAAGATATACTGGTTATTTTACTTCAAAGTAATCCCCAAATGAAGAAATCAAGGTTTATAATAAACAAATCATCATTCATATTTTTTTGTAGAAGTTTGTTTTTCACATATTACAGGAAACTTATATCTTCAATGCATTTGTTTTATCTTTTTAAAAATTGTTTAATATTTGGGAAATTGTTCTAAGTCATAAATAAGAAATTTAAAGAAGCCTGGAATTGTACAAAGAACTGCATATACAGCATATTTAGCATTCATAATTTTACACATGTGGCTAATTAAACATCCTTCAGCAAAATATTGACAGTACATAAATAGCACAAGTGATTTTTTGTTATAAATAATTTTATCACTGGTCCAAAGATACAAAATAAAAGTACTAAGACAGAAGACATAAAACAAATTCTTAAGATATATTTAACATTGTAACTGCTTATAACTGAAAATATAATTTAAGAAAATACAACTCACATTTACAGCATAAGGACCTTTGGTTTCTTAGGCAGCAAATGGAAACAGTTTAATCAGTGAAAGATACTGAAAATAAATGTGTTAGCTTTCTTTCCATTAAAAAAGGTTACACATCTTTTCAATATAACTAGTTACATTCCAAATAATTGTGTAAGAAAGATCACCAATGTTCTAGGAAAGAAATAATTACATACTAATAGAAACAGCTGAAAGAATAGAGGGGAAAAAAGCACTTTTACCCCCACAAAGCAGAATTTACTGCTGGTTCTTATTTAAAGAAATCTTTTACATTTGGAACAATATTCAGATGAAATGAAAGATGACTGTTTTCTCTGAACTGATGTTTGAAGTTTATTCTTTCATATATTCTGACATGGCCTCAACGGAAAAAAAAAGTTCAGTCAATAACATTGTCTTATTTGAGATCATCTACTTAATCTGAAGAAATACAATGGCTTCTGCCAACGGCAATCAAATCTGAATCCATAACAAGTATTTATCTGAAGATATCAAACCACTGCACTGGAAGTAATCAGGAAGTTACCAGCTTTGCTGCTGAATTGACTTCTATTCTGTTCAGCAATCTACAACTGTATTATTTTAATGGTTGGATGTCAAAATAAGCATGTTAAAATTGCATAACCTTTTTAGATAACATTTTAAAAGTTTATGCCAAAAATGTAACTGCTTTTGTTGGGCAGACATTTAGGTATTAAGAGGTAAATCAGAGCATTTCTGGTTTGCAATATTTTTCAGTGTGAAAGACCTCTATTTTACAAATACCAAGTACTTTCAAAACATTATCTGTTGGGGAAGAATGCTTAAGGGTAAAAAATTGTGTGTTTGTCCACCAATCTTAGGTCTCATATTTTCCCAGAAAATTCCATATTAATATATACATTCAACCACAAGCTATCCTATATCAGCAAGTATTGCTAACTTGGTATCATATCAAATTCAGACAGCAAAACTCAAGAGCACAGGTTTAGCACACACTTCAGGGGCATTTGTTGGGCCCTAGATTGTAACTGCTGATAAATCATTTGCTTATATGTATTTGTAGAAATATACAGTAACCAGGATATCTAAAACAGACATAAATAGTGGCCTGCTCTGCTGTACAACAGGTGATATAGTATTTATAGGGTTATTGGATGGCATGTTTGCTGTTGGCTACACATGTTGGCCATTTCAGTGAAACCAGTGTAACAATTCCCATGCCAAATCCAGAAGGCTGAAACCCCACATTACCACCTAGTCTATCTCACTTAGTGCATATATTTCAGGTCTTGTGCATTTGGAAGAGCCCAGGTTACAACTGGTAGTAAATTATCAAACTATCTTTATCAGTAGAAGTTATCAAGAATAGCCAGAACATAAATGCCTGAAATTGGTAGATGTCCAGTCTTTATTTATTTATTAATCATAACTCTGGGTGCTCAGATTGATACAACCTGACCTTAAAACAATGAAATTAGGGGCAGAGGCTTGTAATTACCTAAGAAAATTAAATAGACAAATGAAATATATTACTCAGTCCCTGTGAAAACACTTTTTCTCATGTTCATTTTGTTATATCAAATTTACTCAAATCAGCTTTTTATCAAACATAAAACAATGTTAATCATCTTGCTCACAATTACAACTATTATCCAAAGAGGTCGTTTAAGTCCTTGCTAGCTGAGCTGCTGTTTATCATGCTGTTGGTTGGCTGTGTGAAGTTCTGAGGATTAAAGAAAGGATTTCCCTGTAAGCCAAAGCCAGGCTGTCCCATTACATTCATCTGTGTTCCCAAAGGAGAACTGTTGGTACCCTGAGGAGGTGCAAATTGATTAAGCCATTGGTTTGTTTTCTGTTGTGACAACTGATTCATACTAACTTTGGGTTTTTGAGGCCCAAATAGACTATCTAAAGCAGACATATCAGGTGGCCTGCTTTGCTGCACAACTGGTGATGTAGTGTTCATGGGGCTATAAGGTGGCATGTTTGCTGTTGGCAACATATTCATGTTGGCCATTCCAGTGACACCAGCATTACTAAAGAAATTCTGGCTTGTGGTACCAATCCCCATGCCAAATCCAGAAGGCTGAAACCCCATATTAGCATTTAGTCCATTTCTCTTAGTGTTTTCAACAGATGATGAAAATGCCATTCCAATACCCACTGAAGAAAAACTACTTGAAGAAGGAACTTTAGGCTTGCTGATGGGTTGAGTAGTCAATGATGCTATGTTATCTCTCAGAGTATCAGTCAAATCCTTTGTCTGAAAATACAACACATATAAGACAATTTAAATTACTTTACAGCAGCATCAATAGTTATCGTTTAAAGAATAAATACCAATGAAGTAATTTCATTTTAAAAACTAGGTTATTTTGTATGTGCCACCCAAAGGCAAATTTACCACATCAGTGTAATTGTTTTTTTTAGTAGCTGCTTAGGCAACATTACATTCTGACTGAACACACAGCTACTGCTGTGCTCTAGCTAATTACTTTGTCTAGTGTTTTAAATCTGCTGTAATTACAAAATGCTTTGCTGTTACTATGCGTCTCTCCAACACAGCCTAAACAACTAGTTACACTGTAATGTAGCTGCTACTGATAGCTAGAACAAATGAAGAATCATTGTTGGGAAACTATGGGCTCCTCATTCATTCTCTGTAAAGAAGGCTTGCATTTAGATCATTTGCAGGGAAAAGATCATTTTACCAAATGTTTACATTAAGATTAGATGGACAACAAAGACTTATTGATCCATCTTTATTTTCAGGGGAGTTTGCTTGTACCTCAATATCAGGCTAAGTTACTTTCCCAGGTGTTTAAAAATAGCTGCTGAATTGGCTGTCTTTGGTTGCCACTAAGATTTTACTGCTTCTGTATTTTCACTTATTTGCAGTCCAATATATTGATTAAGTCTGCCTGTCTATCTGTCTATGTTCCCATACCTGTTTCACTGGAGCAATAATTGCATGAGGCTGGGGTTTAAGCGGCTGTTGGTTTTTCAGTTTTTGTGCTTGCTCCTGTTCCTTTGCTAACTTCTGCTTTTCTTCAAGTGTAAGTGACCCCTTCAAAAGAACACATTTGTTAATGGATAGCATTAACCAACTGTGGTTAACTAGCTTAGTTAGCAAGTTAAAATCAGCAAGACTGGCAAGGCAGAAACTTTTGTCCAAATGCAAATGCCTGCTCATTTTTCAGACACCTGTCTGATCTACTTGATGTTTCCATCTCAGCTAAACCTCATTCTTCTATACACAGAAAATGCACTCAGCCTCTCCTTTTTTCCTCATCTGTCTTTTTTTAATAAAATGGCAAAATTCACCTTTACTATCCAATTTTTTTGGTATATTTTACTTGGGAATAACTTCCGTTTTATACAAAGTTCTATGAAAATATGGCAATAAGTGAACGTGATAAATATATCAACCCCTGGTTGCAGATCTGGCTAACAGATATTATTGTATTTTATTAGGATTGTGAACAATGCCTTGTAATATAAAATGCATTGTTTTCATGTTTTGAAAATTCAGCTCTACTAGGATACCAGCTACACAGGTTTTTTCTTGTTTAACTGCAGCTGAAGTTTAAGTCTTTCCACTTTGGTTTAAGGTCAAAACAGTCAGAGACATCACTGACAAAGATAAGATAAAAGGGCACTGTCTGCCTCTTCCACATAGGAATCCTAATATAAAGTCAGCTGACAGGCAAGAACTTTGAAGCAGAGACTTGCCTTCTGCTGGAAATGGACATTCTTTGTTCTGATTTTTAAGAATTTGGAAGGCAGGTGCTGTGGCTTGCTCTTACTGGGACTAAGAGGAGAAGAGCAATTATAACAAGATTCTACTGTGAGGATACCAGCTGTCTTCAGATCAGTTGTCTGAGAGAAATACTGAAAGGCAACAACACCCAGGCCTGGATATAATCCAACAGTTTTCAAAGTGAGAACTCTCTTCTCTTTTCTCCCTTTGGTGCAGCCTGATGGAATGGTTGCTGGTTGGTAAGGGGAACATGAGAGCTGATATATGGGTGGACTCTGTTCTCATCTCCCCTTCTTGTGTAGTCTATGGAATTTTTTAGTATTTATTTAGAACATTTATGTACCATCTAAAGCAATTTATAGTCAAAGGTGGTAAACTTCAACAAAGCTATTTGCTATCTCAGTAGAGTCAGTCTGTTTCCAAAGAACAGATTCATTCACTTTATACTTGATTATCCATTCAGTTTCTGGCTGTCTTGGATAATAATCTCCCATCTGGAAGCATACCTACATATCTATCATGCTATTGCCTTGAGATAAGCAACACACTGCAAAGCATTGAAAATGAGTAACAAATAGTAAACTGGTGGAATACATATGAGATTATAAATGCTAGCTTGCATAGACTAGTATCAGTGTCCTTAGGATAAAATTGGTTTGGTTGCATTTATGGCATACTGGCCAAAATGGGCCAACACTGACCAGTTCTGCTGTTAGCACCAGCAGGGAATGATACATATAGCAGAAGTACAACTAAGACTCCTAGCTGAATTTGCTCCTTTTCTATCTTACTAAAAAGGTATTATATGAAAGCAATGATTGACTAAAGCCATGATGGGAGCAAGAGGTCAGTATCAATAAGCCCATATGGTAACAGCTATAGTATACAGAAAATTGCGATTTGGAATACAAGAGAAGCAAATGGTAAAGACCATGAATTAGCAAATGAAATGAAATGAAAGAAAATATGTATGTTGTGGATATGATAGTTCTAAATAATGGTGGTCTGATCTTATTGAGCAGAGTTGACGAATATGTGCAAAGAAGTGAAGGTATATATTTAATTATGAATCAAAAGGTTAACATGTATGTCATAAAGTATATATTCTTTCCCATCTCTTTATCTTTTCTGTCATATTTTTTATACTATAACTGTCAGCTCTCCAAAGACCAGGCTAGGAAACCAAAGTCATGAATGCTAATATTACTTTTATTATAAGGTTACAGTAACAGAAACTTGGAAGTCTGAATGCACTTCCCTCTTCCTTCCCTTTATCTTTATGAAAACCAGGAAGAGCCTTGTATGAGACTCAGATTAGAGTTCTGCCCTGGATTCAGATTTTTTTTATCTGACCGTTGTCTCGGTAGTGGCTCTTCCTCCTGTTCTCAAGGTTATTCTTTCTGCCCATTACAGTAGCCCAGAGAACAGCAGAAATCATTTTGTTTTTTAAATTGATCTATAAGCAATGGATTAAGTTGGGATATGCAGCAAAATCTTTATTTGATGAACCAATTCTGTCTGTCTGTCTATCTAAAGACTCTGGATCATTTTGCATTAAGTTAAAAACATATGCAATCAAATTAAAAAAAACCTCACATATCCAACAGTGATTCTCAACAAAAATAAAGCAGGCCACATAATATTCAGAATTAAAATTCCAAACATTCAATGAAACAGCACTGTCTTAAAAGCTTTGCAAAATACTAAAAGGGAAGTGCCAGACATACCTCACAGGGCAAGATATTCCAAAGAGTGGGGGCTACCACAGAAGAGGAGTGCCTCCAGGACTATATCCCCTTGAATTCCCTTGTACATCAGCCCCTAAGCATCTCCTCCCTGATTGTACACATAGGTTGGCACTCCCTAAAGTACCCTGGAGCCAAGCCAAATAGAACTTTATAGGTCAAAACCAGAACTGTGAACTATATTTGAAAACCTACTGGTAACTGCAGTAATTGGGGAACTGGCAATGTATTATAATAGCACTCTCACCTACTAACATCCTAGCTGACATAGTTGCAGTTTTTAATCTGTACCAGTTTATAGGTTGTTTTCAAAGGCAGACCCATGTAGGACATATTAGTCTAACAGCAGAGTAATAAAGGCATTGGTTGCTGTGGCCAGAGCTTCACAATTCACATAGGGCCACAAATGGTGTCTCCTACACACAGCAAGTGGTCTACAATAGTTGATGATAGATCTTTTAAGACCAGGACCCTGCCACTTAGTCATCATCTTAAAAAAAAAAAAAAAAAAGAGGGGAGGGTGAGGATAAGGAGAGTCCATTACACCCAAATATCTGTTAAACTGCAAATTATGTTATTCACAGCAATTTATGTCATTTGTGTAATGACTCATAAATTTAAATTTCAAAATTAGCATAAATTTAATTGCCTCATCCAGACTACTTTAGATGCAATGGATTTGTCCATAATTTCAGGGAGATGTCCAGACAGTTTTGTCTGTTGTATCTGAAATCATCTAAATGGAGGTTCATTAAATGAAGGATTCATTGCAATTGTTTTCAATAAATAAAAAAAAAAATTAAACACTATATATAGCTGCTTTCATCTCTCTTAAAACCAACTGGCAATAATCACTACTACAGCAATGGAAAAAGGTCCCAATAATTTGAATTAGAAAAGATACTGTTTTTCTCTTTTATGCATATTCTTTACAACAGTGGGCTGCTCCCTCTTCCTGGCCCTTACCTTATAACATCTTTTGTGTTAAAAACTATGGAGTCAACACCAAAAAGGAGGAATTTAATCTGACCAAATCAGGATCCATCATGTTGAAATCTACCATGGACTGCAGATTCAATACGTATGTATGTAGATATGTATGTGTGTGTGTATAAAACTAATAATTACATTTTAACTTGTTATTAAAGCTTACTTTTCTTTGATTTGTCATCAGTCCATTCTCTTTACAATCAGGTCCACTAGTTAAGATACACATTCCTAGATTGGTAAAAGTTTTGTCCACCTGTTTGGATTAAAACAAGATAAAAAAATCCTTACAACAGTTACTGGAAACCAGTATTATATTAATCTAATAAACACAGCATCTTACTTGATTGCCTGTACTACTGACTTTTGATTCTTCAAGTGGCTTCATTTGATTAGTTATATCCAAAGATCTGTAAAATAAAAAAATAATTACAGTAAGTTCTAGTTTCAACTTCAAAAACAACCCAGTAAGAGTAACAAGACACATTCCAAATGTTATCATGACAAATTAAAAACAATCTGCTTCATTGAGTTTCTCTTTCAACATACAGTAATTAGTAAGTGATTGAATTACATTATTATATACAGGTCACATCAGCATCTACATCAAATTCACAGGTTAAATCAAAGCAGCAAAATAGAATTAACATGAAAACAACACAAGTTACTGTATAATAGACTAAATATAGAGGTTGGCTGGAAAACCCCTCCTCAGCCCTTGTCTGCCACAGCATTCTTTTAAACATTCCTCCAAAGTTGATGTAGTTTTTCTTTTTTATTTTGCATGCATGCTAGAAGAATTAAGATGATTTCTCCTCCATCTCTTAGTAAGATAACTGCATGTGTGTGTGTGTGTGTGTGTGTGTGTGTTATAGAACTATTTGGGGGGCACTCTGGGATGCCTCCTTTGCTCCCAGGACCATATAACTATACTCGAAACAAACTCTTAAAAAAGAATAGTTTCACTGTTGCTATTAATTTGCTCAGGGTTACTTGCATTATTTAATAAGCCCTAAAATATATGTTACCCCTTTTAAATTACTTGAAATGCATATAACAGAGCACAGATTCTTCCAGTTTCTCCTTTTCTCTCATTCAACTATATTAGTATAACAATATTAAAAAGTGATAAGACAGTACCTATAGTATATTCAAATTCTATGATAGACATCTAGCCCAAGGTATCAGTTTCAATTTAAACACATCATTGGCTGAATTCACACATTATACTAACCCATTTGTTTTAACAATGATCTGAAGGTATAGCTCATACATAATACTAATCCATAAATTTAAATGGCTGCATTCAAGCTATAGCTCATGAACCCAAACCAAATAAACGTTATGGTTTAACATGCATCAATCCAGCCTTATTTGAGCATGGTTTGGTATAGAATACTAAATTCCTATCCAAGGTGACAGAATATAAAGTTCACAGACTGCTTAAATGGAAAATCTGTTCTAAACTGCTCAGCTGTGAAGATGAATGGCAGTTAGCCAACTTCATAGAACTGTTAAGAAGCTAAAAAAAGTATCATAAACATCCTTGCAGTAGAATATTTATAGCTAGTTAACCTATTGGGATATACTACTAGTAAAATTTATTTAATCTTTTAGATAGAAAAACTCAAGAAATACAGAAAATTATATAACATAGCAAAGATGTAATATTAATAAATTCACTGTAACTTCACGATATTTTGCACACTTACTTTTGTTGTTCCTGCATAACATGGATTTGTTCAAGTTTGGTCTTATGTTCAGCTTCCAATTTACTTAACATCTCTTTTATGACTGAAATAAAGGAATTAAACTAGAAGAGAAATATATTTAACATGAAAAAATTTGAAAAGTACCAGTCTTCTAATACTGAATAATGTATTGAGAGAAATCTAACGAATTGAAATGGGCAACACAGAAAGGAACACAATGTGATATTCAGCAATTCTATGTACACCTAATTAGAAGACATGCTGAACTCAATTTTATTTGTATACTTATTACAAAATATATGTAATACAAGAATATGTGCCCTGCAGGCTTTTTTCATGTATTTTCAATTAAATGTATAAGGAATGCTTGTGGTGATGTTAAAGGTCTGTTGATTGGGGAAATAAATGAATCTTATACACAGATGCTGCTATCTTGTTGGCTGAGAACCTGAATATGGTGAAAAAAGGAGTATGGATATGAAAATTTATGTATTCTAGAATGCTTCTTAAAGATGGAGAAATGGATAGAAGATAAATATTATTATATGAAAATACTGGTAGAAAAAATACTGCAAGGAATGAAAGTTTATAAAAGAAGTTACCATTGCTGCATATAAGACTGTACTTCTGTCCATTTTATTATATGGAACTGAAGCTGGATTAGTAAATTAAATGCAATGGGAATTATTACTTAAGAAATATGTGTGGTAAAACAAAAAGATATAGGGCCATGAATGAATTGGTGTTGAATGAATTGGATTAAATATAAATGGCCAGTATAAAACAAATATGAGGAAGAAAGAATGAGGATCAAACTGCAAAACAAAACAGGAAGGAAACAAGAAAGTAATGGTTGGATTGAGTTGATAAGAATCTCAAAAAGAACTGAGAAGTTTCAAGAAAAAAAAGTAACATACTAATTGGGGTATGGATGTCATAAAAGCAAGAATGGTTTGCAAGGCAGAAAGATATGATTACAAATGTTGGTGTAAACTAGACTGTTCAACTTCCTTTTTTCTATTATCATCTGCCTCCAATTTCTTTTCTTTACTATTTCTTCTTTTTCTGCACTTTGCAAAACATGCTTATCCTGAAAAGGAATAGGGTGATAGGTATTTAACACTGCAGCTTTTAAGGTCTAAAAATAGTACAATCTTAAAATAATAAAAAATAACAAGTTGCCTTGTGAAACTGTCACCAACGTACACTTAAATTATTTCCTTTACTTAATACCATCTGTGCATGTAAAAGTTTTTACATGTATTTCCCAAATTATTCAAACGCTTTTGTGCCCAATATTTTTCTTTCTCTCAGTCTCTCACACATGTGTACATGTGTGTGTATGTATATGTGTATGCATGTGTCTCAAGCAACTCTCCTAACATTCCCCTAGTCAGGTAATTCCAAAAGCCTGCAGACAAATAAATTTAATGTTATTACTCAAGAATGGCATAAAAAAAAAAGATGTTCAGCACACTTGGACCCTGAAACTTTATTATCAATTTGGATACTGGGACATGGAAATGACTCTGCAGAAACTGATATATTTCTCTTCAAGCTTTCCCTATAAAGAAGATTTAAGTGAGGACAGGGACGAGGACAAGAGTTTATTGTTTTGTGATTGATAATTCTAGTCTCTTGATCACAGTGGATGATTTTTATCAGTGATCACAACTTTGGAGGATATAAAGCAATATATCACAGCCTTACTTCAGTGCTTAGTGCTCTTTATAAGCTTTTTTTTGCTTGTTTGGAAAATGTTGGAAGTCTAATCTGTCTCTGCACAAATATCAACCATTTCAGGTCAATGCACTTTCTGTAATATTGTTGCCAACTGAGCAAAAGAGAAATAAAGTTTAAGTCAAGTTGCATTTATCACAACTCCTGAATCCTTACACCATCCTTCTGAAATTGTCCAGATTTCTTTCCTAGCAATATACTTTTCGTTCAAATCATTACCCCCTTCCACTTTGCAGCCTTCTCTTCTACAAACACCACTGCATTTATTCTCCCTTAATGAGGTCAAAATATATCAATGGGCATTTGCAGGGGATGGAGCAAATGAATGTAATGGCATGATGCAAACACTACAACTTAAGACTTAACACTACAACATCAGACATCAGTTTGCAAGTACAGGTAGTCCCCAGTTAAAGAGGTCTGTCCTTAAGTTGAATTTGTATGTAAGCCGGAACAGTATTATTGTTTAGTACTATATTAGTAGTATTGTGTAATCAACTTGAACCATTGTGTATTTAACACAAATTTTGCTACAATAGGCTCCGTTCTTAACTATGGGTTGTCCTTAAACCAGGCATTCTTAACCCAGGGACTACCTGTATATATTGGCAGCACTGATGTCACTGGATGTTGTCACTTTGGCATAATTGTAGTTTGTTGTAGAGACTACAGACATTACCTATGGTGCAAGTCATTTTTATAATTTCCAAAAAAGCAACCCAACCTGTGTAGTAAGTGCGATCTTTTCTTTAAAGAAGGCTCCAAACTGGAAAGGCAATAGCTTTAATGCATCATAGTGGAATATAAAATAAACATCTTCAAAGTTTGGATTCTTCATGAACAATGTAATTTATAGTGAAAACATATGATCAATCATCCTACCTGATTTAGATTAAGATTGTTCTCAATGCTAAGAGGAATCAGATGCGGAAGCACCTTTCCTGCAAGTTGTTCTTTTGTAATTCCCAGCTTCTTGTGACTGAATGTACATTTGTAAATACCTGTTATAAAACATTAATGGTTTAGCTACTGATCTTATTGAACTGCAAAATTGTATTTTACTCTGAGCACAAGACTAGTTTCAATAAAATAATTCAAACATCCATTGCACTTTACTTATACAGTTGCATGGGAAAATATAGATATCCCTGGTCAGATTGCAGATTTCAAAAGAGAAGCTGACACAATCTCTACATAACATAAACACATCTTCAAATTTGAATGCATACTTATTATTTATCTGCAGTTGCTTACAGAATCAAATAAGGCAACAGTGAATGTGATAAGAGCAGAAGTTTGGACACCCTTCCAATTTATTCACACTATTTTTTAAGTTGTTAGTAAGGCCCAAAACGGTGATGACTCACTTGCTACAATTAGCTAGATGAAGATGAATACTCTGACACTTTTATCTTCTCAGACTGTGACTGTTCCATCTACTTTCAGCAACTATGATCTCCTCTAAAAATCTGTCTGCCCATTTGAAAATGAAGATAATTCACTCATATAAAGCAGGGGAAATCTATTAAAAAATCTCTAAAAACTTTCAGCTAGCAATTTCAACTGCAAGAAGCATTAAGAAATAGAAGTTGGAGTTATTGAAGTCAAGGCAAGATCTGGAAAACTAAGAAAAATCTCTGCTAGAGCTGCCCTCAGATTGGTAAGAACAGATAACTGTAAAGCCTACTGAAAAGTTCAGCTGAGTAGCTGTCTAGAGCTACTGTATGCATAATGAAGTAAGCAGTACTATGTGTTTAAACAGATTTGCTAAAACTGGGACTTCCCATATGGTGCTGGCGTTCAGTAATTTAGCAGGATTAGATCATCCCCAGGGCCTTTGACTTGTTTTAACTGCATTGTAAGTTTACCAATCTCAGAATGGACATTGGAGCCCAACTTGCTAAGTCTTCTGGGCAAGAGACTGATCTATCACTAAATTGAATTCTGAGGTATTTGGCCATATCTCTGGAGAAACTGGGTCAGAATGCAGGGAAGTGTATTTTGGAACAACAAAGACTACAAAATGCCAGAATCCTGTGGAGTTTCATAGTAAGTGAAGAAAATGAAGCGGAAAATAGGGGGATATTTCAGTAAGAAACTGATCAGAAACATACCTTCAAATCAATCATGAAGCACTTACAGGAAAGAAAGACAGATTTTGACATGAACTTCACAGTTCCCAGACTTGAATATTATTGAAAAACTGCAAGGAAATAATCCAATGCATATAAGGAGACCTTCATGAACTACCTGACGTCTGCAAGGAAGAGTGCAAAAACTTCCAGAAGGAAGAAACAGAAAGACTATTAGCTGGCTAAGGGAATGTCTGGAAGTTATGTCTGCCAAATGAGATGTTACAAAATACAGACTGAAAGAGTGTCCAAATTTCTGCACCTGCCACATTTATTGTTTTTTAATTCTAATTTGCAGGACAAGAGCTTTGTTAGTCTACAAGGGCAAAAAATCAGAAGGACCTTTTCTGATTAACAAATTTTATTGAAAGGCATAAATGTTCCTGAGCTGCAGCTGACTTCATCAGATGCACAGAATCTTTAGACTGATGTAGGTTCTAAATTGTGGTGAGCCAGAAAGTTGGGGGGAGGTGGGGGAGATAGGTTAGTTATGCAGACGCAGATTGTGAGACAGATGACCAGATAATTTTGAATCTGTAAACAACTGCACATAAACTTTAAATATGTGTTCACATTTGTAGCAAGATCTCATATTTAACTTTGTACAAGATAGAGATTGGTGTTAGCTTCTGTTCACTTAGGGATTCACTGAAACTTAAATTTGAGCAGGGCTGTCTAAACCATTGCATGCAACTCTAAATGTATAAACATGCTTTATATTTCTTCTAGTTTGATGGGATAGGAAAACAAGATGCTGAAGTTAATTATTTTTGCAACTAGAGATAATAGTATGTTCCTGAGTAGTTAATATGTTTGATACAGAGTTTGAACTGAAAGGAAAATACTGGGAAACTAAGCAAGTTATACATATCTGAGTCATATTAGAGTGGTACCTCGGTTCACGAACTTAATTCGTTCCACGATTCTGGTCGCGGACCGAATCAAAATTCCCCATAAGTGTCAATGTTAATAAGGTTACTATGTTT